TGTCTTCTGATGAGGAAGCAGAGGCTGGGGGCTCGGAGGTGGACTCGTCAGTCACCCAAGCTGAAGTCACCAAGGTAGTTGAGAAGCTTCTCAGTGGCAAGGCACCGGGGGTGGATGAGATCCGCCCTGAGTACCTTAAGTCTCTGGATGCTGTGGGGCTGTCTTGGCTGACATGCCTTTGCAACATCGCATGGCGGTTGGGGACAGTGCCTCTGGACTAGCAGACCGGGGTGGTGGTCCCTCTATTCAAGAAGGGGGACCGGAGGGTGTGTTCCAACTAGAGGGGTTCACACTCCCCAGTCTCCTCGGGAAAGTCTATGCCAGGGTACTGGAGAGGAAAATTCGACTGATAGTCGAACCTCAGATTCAGGAGGAACAATGCGGTTTTCATCCTGGCCATGGAACATTGAACCAGCTCTACACCCTCTTCAGGGTGGTGGAGGGTTCATAGGGGTTTGTCCAACCAGTCCACATGTTTTGTGGGTTTGGAGAAGGCATTCGACCATGTCCCTCGCGGCACCCTGTGGGGGGGTGCTCTGGAAGTACGGGGTCCGGGGCCCTTTGCTAAGGGCTGTCCGGTCCCTGTATGACTAGAACAGGAGCTTGGTTCGCATTGCTGGCAGTAAGTCAGACTTGTTTCCAGTGCATGTTGGACTTTGTCACCGGTTCTGTTCCTTATTTTTATGGACAGAATTTCTAGGTGCAGCCAGGGGTCGGAAGGAGTCCGATTTGGGGAACACAGGATTTCGTCTCTGCTTTTTGCAAATGACGTTGTCCTGTTGGCTCCATCAAACCAGGACCTCCAGCATGCACTGGGGCGGTTGCAGCCGAGTGTGAAGCGGCTGGAATGAGAATCAGAACCTCCAAATCCGAGGCCATGGTTCTCAGTCGGAAAAGGGTGGCTTGTTCCCTTCAGGTTGGTGGGGATCGGTGCAGCTTCTGCAGTAATGCGGTTGATGTACTGGTCTGTCGTGGTGAAGAAGGAGCTGAGCTGTAAGGCAAAGCTCTTGATTTACTGGTTGATCTACGTTCCGACTCTCACCTATGGTCATGAGCTTTGGGTCATGACCAAAAGGGCAAGATCCCGGATACAGGTGGCCAAAACAAGCTTCCTTCACAGGGTGGCCAGTAGAACCGCTGCTCCTCCACATCGAGAGGAGCCAGCTGAGGTGGCTCGGGCATCTGTTTCGGATGCCTCCTGGGCGCGTTCCTAGGGAGGTGTTCCAGGCATGTCCCACTGGGAGGAGGCCCCGGGGAAGACACAGGACACGCTGGAGGGACTATATCTCTCTGCTGGCCTGGGAACGCCTTGGCATTCCCCCGGAGGTGCTGGAGGAAGTGTCTACAGAGAGGGAAGTCTGGGCATCTTTGCTTAGACTGCTGCCCCTGCGACCCAGTTCCGGATAAGCAGAGGAAGATGGATGGATGGATGGATGGATGAGTTTATTAAAAAGTATAAATGTTACAAACAAGAAAAATACAAGCAAGCATGTCCTTAAAAAGCTGAACATTTTGATAGCTGAATAGTTTTTCTAGATGAAAGTATGCTGGAGCAGTTAGGTGCCAAAAATGGATGGAAGAAACCAGAATATTAAAGGAAAGGTCCATGCAGATTCTCAGTTATCCAGGTCATAGTAAGCTTAAAAAACCTGGACCTGGTAAAAATCAACTGGACTAGGTTTCTAGGTTGAAGACATCAGAACTGATGGAGCCTCTTGGATGAGAGGTGAAATGTCTTCGACCTAGAAACCTAGTCCAGTTGATTTTTTCCAGGTTTTTTTAAAAACTTTTCAGCATCCACACACTGAGTTTTTGTGGAACACCCTGGTCTCCTGTGCTGATTGGTTTTTGCTAATTGCCTTACTGTCTGCTTACGTATGTCTGTAAAATTGCAGGATCTGTGATTTGTACTGACGATGGTTTTTGGAACAAAACATTCATTTTTATTGATTTTTTGCTGCATCACCTCTAACACATAGAATAAATGTGTCTTTTTGGCATTTGGAGTGCTGCTTCAGTTCTTTGTTAGGGTGCAGGCAGTTTTTCTATGTACAAACACAGCTTAAAAATATTGGCCTTTCCACAGTGAGAATTAAGAATTGATTGTGAAAGATTACTCTTCAGCACACTCGTTAAATTGCAGATGTTAGAGCAAACACACCAACAACCAATATTTCTCAGTGTCTTGTTGGATTTATTACAGTTTCTTTATTGAAATAGTAAATGTGATTGTTCAATGGCATTGAGCTAAACCAGACTGAAATATGACAAATGAAACATGGATTTTACGGTTCCTTTTAAAAAGCTGCTAATGTGATTTGTACATAAACATATATACACTGCTCAAAAAAATAAAGGGAACACAAAAATAAGACATTCAACTATGTTGTGTTCCCTTTATTTTTTTGAGCAGTATATAAACATGTCAGGGTTGCTCATTCATTCTGTGGTAGATTTGTGTACTAATAGTTTTAGATTATAATTATCCAGATGCTGATCAGTGAATGTTTATGAGGCTGTCAGGAGTCTTAATCTTTTCTAAACATCTAATTTGCAGTGAAAATGATGAAAATTGTTTGTTTACTTTGTGGAATAAAGCATTTTATTTTTAGACTCTTAAAACATTTTTATGAAAGGTTCAGTTATCTAAATGTATGAATGACACGCTTTAGAAAAAAAACTGGCTTTGCAGTCACCATGGAATCAACTAATGTCATAACTTTTGTTATGTAAAACCTATTTTCGTGTCTAGCAGACCTGAGTATGGCATTTAGTTTACTCTGATATACATAACATAATAATGGATTTATACTTTTATTGGCATGGCTTTTTAATCCAGACAAGACAAAAATTCTTTTTGATGTGTACAAAGCCTCTAACTTATACTACTAAAATTGCTTTCCTTTACCAGAAATCTTAAACCTTAACCAAGTATTGTATACATTTGGAGGAAATACCAAAATAACATTTTTTTTGCCTTTTGGTACAAGAACTTGTTGAAAATATTTGTCCTGTTCTCAGTATGTAAAATTTACTAGTATGTAATGTGTCGGTATTTTAATTTTCACTGAAGCGCTACTCTGAGTTAGATGCATGTCTTTTTTGTGTTGCTAGCTATCCAGGTCTCTTAAAAATTCAGCTGGTTTGAAGATTGTCAAGCCATTCAACAAATGTTAGCAGTTAATATTAATCCCATAAGTATGAATTAATAGGGGCCAACTGGACTGACCAGTAGGCCATAAGGTGAATATCTTTAAATAGTGATGAACATCAAGGCTTTGAAGTGTGTTGAGTACTCGCAGCAGTAGTTTTTTTTCAATAAATAGTCACGGTAACCCAAACCACGAGCTTTCCCTAAACCTAACCAAGTTTGTGTATGTGTATGTGTGTTTAAACCTGCTGTGCTCCTCATTTATTATTGTAACCATGACAACAACAACAACAACTAGGAGGTGGAGTATGGCCCTATGGCCCTATAACAATTAATGAACAGCCATTAGATGTGCTGATATGTGAAGAGGGCATATGTTTGATCATTTATAGTAGCTCTCCTTTCTTATTAAGGAAAGATATGCCCTACTTTACTGTAAGCTGTTAAATAATTGAGATGTTAACTGATTTGTTACTATATATTAAAGCCACATGTGTATGAAAGTCTCTGCTTTCAGTGCAGATTGTATCTGATGTTTTTAAAGTGTTACAGGTGGCACCAACATGTGTTTCATTTACTTTTTCCTGCAGCAACAAGCATACATGGCTAAAGTAAAGTAACCCTAATCACAAAGAGACAGAATGCATCCTCCCAAATAATGAATGCTGGACAGACACATAATAAGAAACTCTGGAATGCATGTGCATCATGATTCTTTTGTTTCCAGGACTGACTTTTGTTTGAGAGCAGAATGACAGTAATACAGTCCTGCCACTGCCTGAGGAGAGGTTGGAGGACATCTGGCTGTCACTCCTACAACATGGTGGAGGAGTGACAGTCAGGCATCCTCCAACCTCTCCTCAAAACATCTTTACACATTAACTATGACATTTTCTTTGTTTTCATAATGAGTGTGCAATACAACAAGAGTGTCTTAACATGGGTAGTAATAAATGGTAGTAGTCAGTTAAATGAATATTGGACTTAGGAATGTTTGGGAGCTTTAATTTACTCAGGTTCTTTGAGCTTTGATTTCAGAGCTTGACTGTGGCAAATGCATATTAGTGTTCAATCTGAAGTGGCAATATGAAATAAAAGACAAAAACAATAAAGTCCCACTCCACTCAGAAATATGTTTTCCTCATTTGAATGTTTGACCTTATCTGTAGAGAGTCTGACTCTAGAAGGCAGTTTTCTCACTATTTTGCTGAATTGAAGAGGGACCGTATTTCTGTGCTCACCTTAAATTTCATTTTAAACAAATATACAGCAGAGTAATTTCTTAAAGCTTAAAACATATCTGTAAGTGATCTTTAAATTATACATTTAAACATTTTCAATCCCTGAAGTATTTTTTAATGTTTGTTAATTACATATTTGCATATTGTGTTGAATTAAATAACATATCATGTAACTCAAACAGAAAAAAATTAAAACTTTTAGCAGCATTAAAAGATGAACAGCAGATAAATGAATGCCCTCCATCTTTTAATTTCTGTTTTTCTTTCTCTCCTTTCTGTTTTCCACTCATTTCTCTACCCCTCCATCTCGCTACCCTCTTACCCTCCCTCTTTTCTCTGTTCTGCTACCATTTACTTTTCTTTGTATCCTTCTCCTCTCTGTGGCCCCCTCCTTCTCTCCCTCCTCCTCACTCCCTGTCCTTGCTGTGTCCCAATCCTCTCCTCCCTCCTTCTTTCCGACTTCCACCCCTCTTTGCCCCTCCCTCCCCCTGTGTCTCTGTGTTGAAAGAGGGAGTTTTGAAAGAGAGAGGGAGAATCAGAGGAGGAGGTTGGAGGGGAGGGATTCTATAAGAGGAGCTGTTTCAAGCCTCCACATAGACAGAAAAGCCACACTCAGACTGAAGGAGGCAAACACACGCTGCACCTAAGAATCTCTACCAGCACCCAAGGGACCCCTGTAGGCACCCACGAGCTCACCCCAACACAGGTAAGAAGAATCTGGGGAGGAAGAGGGCATTGAAAGAAGCTGAAGGAGATGGAAAAGAAATTACTTGACCTCTGACCTTTGATACAAAATTATATGTCTTTTTTGATGTAAAATTAATAACTGCCATTTTGTTACATTAGCTAATGGATCCACAGTCAGGACAGAGAGACCACATGCTGTATTAAGGTCCAACTGGAGTCAAAAGTGAAGATATAAAATATAATTTTACATCACTTTGCATCCTTAATAGTCACTTGCAGCAGTGTAAGTCAGTCATTCATCAGTCATTTATGGATTCCTTTAAATGACTACAACTTAAATATGAGGTTCCTTTTGATTAAAACTATATTTGACCAAAGAAATTGGGCAAAAGGGAGGAAAAAGGAAATTACAGTTTTCATCCTGTTATATTACCACCAAATAGTTTTTTGTCTCCAGCACTTCTTCATCATCTGCAACAGCTGAAGGGTGCCAGTATAACTGCCGCAGCTGTTGCCACTGAGCTGTAACCTTCTGACCCTTGAGCTCCTTACAGTTAAGTGTTTGTAAATGATGAGAGAGTTTAAGCTTAATCTACTGTCAACCTCAGTGACAGGCTGATAAATGGGTTAGAATAATGTCTCAGGTCATGGTAATTAACAAGCCAATGATTCTCTGTCCCATAGAATCAATGAATCACCTCGAAGGAGTGACTACAGAGTGTTACATCCAATAATGGCCAAATCGAAATCTGTGTTTGGGTGAGGTAAAAAATAAAGCAGCACACACTACAGAGAGCATGAGATGAGGAAGTGCCATATGATGATTACAAGTGCAGGTTGTTTTGTCATTGCATTGGTATTGAGTAAAGAGGGAATGGTCAAACATCATTGGTCCTAATTAGTCATTAATCATTAAAGCCTGATTTACTGCTGCCCCCTAGTGGGTTTCATGAATGAATGGGTAGTCTTCATGAAAAGATCCTGTTTGTGTTGACTCTGTAACTCAAGATACAGGAATGAAAGGTAATTTAGGTAAGTGCATATTGATTAATCAGAATTTTCAGGATCTGAGTTTAATAAACTCACGTCACATCATATATATATATATTAGGGGTGTGCATCTCTCCAATGACGATACGAGACGATTTCGATACATGGGGCTACGATACGATTCGGAAATGATACTTTTAAAATGGAACGATTCGGTTCAATTCGATACAATTACACTATGATACGGTTCGATTCAATGGGGTATGATGCAATCAGATAGTTTGTTTAAAGTAGGCGATCATTTTACATTATGAAGCAACATAAGTCAGTTCTATAAATGTGAAATTGCTTGCTATAGACTACAAAGAACAAGTACTTTTGACATGTGAATTCAGCAACATGCCATGTTCATTAGTGTAACAGTACACTTTGATATATTAGGGGTGTGCATCGCTCCAATGACGATACGAGACGATTTCGATACATGGGGCTACGATACGATTCGGAAATGATACTTTTAAAATGGAACGATTCGGTTCAATTCGATACAATTACACTATGATACGGTTCGATTCAATGGGGTATGATGCAATCAGATAGTTTGTTTAAAGTAGGCGATCATTTTACATTATGAAGCAACATAAGTCAGTTCTATAAATGTGAAATTGCTTGCTATAGACTACAGAGAACAAGTACTTTTGACATGTGAATTCAGCAACATGCCATGTTCATTAGTGTAACAGTACACTTTGAGAACTTTACAAAGCCCCTCTGATAACAGAAAATATTCAAGCTCGTTATTGGCACAAATTAAAGCCAAAGAAACAACTAAACAAGGTGAAAGAAATACAACTTCTGGAAAAATCTGTATAGCCTCAGATCAAGGAACAATAAGTTACTGAGGTTGAAATGGCAAACTGTAAGCACTTGTACAGAAAAAGTGCAGTCTTTTAAAGTGCTCTTTTGTAAATTAACATGCATCTACGTTAAGAAATCTTGCACTAATAAAAATCTGGCGCCGCCATGCTGTTGCGAGATTACCGTGGCCGGTGCACAGGTTACGTCAGAACAAGGCTGCAAAACTAAAAAACTAACCGGCATGCACTGACATGTCCGATGCCGCTGTGTTTATTTGTTTGCAGCAATATCAAACCGATTTATAACGTTGTAATCGGGCCATCGACCGATTCAGCGCACATTTGGCTGAATGGACACATTTGGATTCAGGCTCCGTCTACCGATGCACTTGTATCGTTTTAATTCAAATCGATTTTCCGATTCATATTGGTTATTTGTTACACCCCTAATATATATATA